ACGTATCTAATGCAAACATCCACAAAGATCTGAATATTCCAACCATTAAAGAAGAAATAAAGAAAACTAGTAAGAAATACATCGACAGACTCCACAACCACGAAAATAATTTAGCCTTAAGTCTATTAGACAATAGCCTAACAGTAAGAAGACTGAAAAGATACCACATTCTCGATATCCCTGATAGATAAATTTAACAAACTAAAANCCGTTTTAGCCACAAGCACATCTATAAATGAAGCTTCTGAACTCCTGCAGAGTGAGCTAAGCCTAATTGAAGACTGGTTCCTTCGATGGAAAATTAGAATAAACTCCCTGAAATCCGTCCAAATAACGTTTTCATTAAGACCAGGTAACTGCCCAAATGTTACACTTAACGGCTCACCAATTCCACAAAGTACCTGTGTGAAGTATCTCGGCTTGCATCTCGACCGCAGATTAACATGGAAAAACCACATTAAAGCAAAATGTCAACAACTTAGACTTAAAACACTAAAAATGTCCTGGCTGATAAGTCGAAAATCAGAAACCACTTTGGAAAACAAAATTCGCCTCTACAAATCCATACTGAAGCCTGTTTGGACCTACGCTATACAGCTTTGGGGAACTGCTAGCAACTCAAATATTGAAATACTTCAGCGTTACCAATCAAAAACTTTGCGACAAATTGTCAATGCTCCGTTTTACGTATCTAATGCAAACATCCACAAAGATCTGAATATTCCAACCATTAAAGAAGAAATAAAGAAAACTAGTAAGAAATACATCGACAGACTCCACAACCACGAAAATAATTTAGCCTTAAGTCTATTAGACAATAGCCTAACAGTAAGAAGACTGAAAAGATACCACATTCTCGATATCCCTGATAGATAAATTTAACAAACTAAAAAGATGTTATATATAATAGCAGGGCTCATTGGAAAACTGCTATTTCTGTTAATTGAATATTAATTATACAATTTACTTATTGTTTAAAAACAGATTGTAAATATAAAGAGAGAGAAAAAAAAAAAAAAAAAAAATCTGTTAATGAATTATTTTAGTTTTTTAGTGGCTTGTTGTTTAAAACGAGTAGGAACGTTGGTGAGAACCTTCGTACCCGTCACAACTTTTATACCCGGTGCTCAGCCGTATATCTGTCCTTACAAGTTTTGTCATTTGTCATCTACATCTACATCACTTCTCACACCAACTCGCCCTTTAACCTCAGCACCCTCCCCCAGAGACGCACACTGCATGAGGCAGAGTGTTTGAGCAAGAAAGAATCATAACAAAAAGCAAGCATAAGCAAAGCTTCTGGAAGGAGTGGGGGAGGCAACTGAAAATTAATGACTTCATTCTGACTATAATAACGATCCAATTTAATCCCAATCATGAAATCTGATAGATATGGTCATTCCCTACGAAATTCCACTTTTAGTATTCTCCTGTCTTCAAAATTGTGAATACAACAGATTTTCTTTTTTTTTTTGGGCGAAATTTGCTTAATAATAAGCAACTTGCACTTGCAACACTGTGAGCTTACAGGCATCTTAAAAGAAAAATTTGGTGGCTCTAGCTTTTATAGTCTTTGATATCCAGGCGCTCTTCAAGACGGACGAACAGACGTACAGGCGGACAGACGGACGGACAGACAGGCATGGTTCTTTGTGCACAAATACCATTTACCCTATTTACTCTTCGAATACCGGGTATAATTATAGTTTCCTTCCTGCTCAAGAGAAAAATACTGCATACAGTGCCTTTACCTTTGGCTCTTGCAAAAACTTAGGTAGGAGAAGAAAAGCTGCAAACTGGTTTCAGATTGTGTGTCAGCCCTGTCTTCTGTCCAATAAATGTCAATTACAATCAATTTGGGCAAGTTTTCCGTAGTCTACTCTATACAGCGTATTTCTATTGTACCCACGCCTCCTCTCCTATCTAGGGGTCTGACCTTTTGTTACCATTCCCCTTGTCCATTGCTTCTGGTCGTTTTAAAGTCTGGCTGTAAAGCAGTAGCAAATTTTGATTGACAGGTGAAATTAAATTCGCCAGCCAGCCAGTCAGTCCAGCCAGACAGTGAGCCTGGAAAGTCAAGAAAAGAAAAGCCAAGCAGCGACAAATCCAAAGACAACCCCATGGCATGGCATACTTTACAGATGAAAAGTCTCAGAAAAATTTTGCCTTTTGTTTTATGCACATGGACATAGAGCAATTCCCCGTGGCAATATGATTGATTGATGATTAGCAAATGCCCCACGTACCCCTCCACTCTCTACTGGTGCCTGATTCACTTTTGAATAACAACAAAAACAGACACTGGGAAGGATTGCTGCAAAGGAGAGCACTCCGCTTGCGCTCTCTGCCTGCTGGCATTATAGCAAATCAATCATTTTCATCTTCAACTGAACATTGTGCGCTGCTCTCGTGCCCAAACATTGTTTGGATATAGTCCGTCTCTCTCGCAGTGTGCCACGTTGTTGCCTGTTGCAAATCAATCTTCCAGCGAGAGAAAATTTCAATCAGCTATCTCTGATAATACCCCGATATCGTTGACAAATTGTTTGGCATTAACTCGAATGCAGAACTTACCCTAGAAACTTATTCTACTTACCGATCCTAAGGAACAAGGATAGCAACAGCAAACAAGCAGCCTTACAGAGTAAATCTTCACGATATTTTCTTGATTTATGTCCCTCACTTGCAGCTACTTTTAATGAAATTTTACCCTTTTTAACATTTTTAAGCCGCAAGAAAGCATCATTAAAGTCAATAAGTAAGTTAAGAAACCACAGCCTTATATTTCACGTACAAGGCGCTGGCGGCGAGAAGGGTTAAGTGAAAATGTGAAAGACAAAGCGGAAATTAATGCGTATGCATCCATTTTCCACATGGCGCTACTCCCTCCAAGAGACACACACACGAGACGACTAAATAAATGAAAGGATATTAGCCGCACATTTTGGTGCGGGTGACAGTGCCTTGTCAATGCTGTCGTCAGCTCCTTAACCTCCAAGTTTTTGCTTCATTTCTCTCCCTCTCTACACCCTTCCGCAGCTCTAAGCATTAAGTGCGAAAATGTGCAAATTCGATTTTGTGGTGTTCAGTCTTGTGAACGCACACACACACTTTTAATTAAAGCCCAAAATAAACTTTTGACACCACACATATGAATTAATTATCAATTGAAGGCCTTCGCAGGCAGAGGCAGGAGGCTTCCTCCTTCTGGCAGGTTAAACTAAATGAATTGTTGTATGCTTCCAGGTTTCATGCGTGTGTGAGTGTGATGAATGTGTTGCAGAACAGCAGGAACTGGTAAATACACTACTTTTGAGTTAACAGATCTCCTGGGCATATTTTCAATAAAAATATAATTATTTAGAATCCCGCGCTGCGCAGATGCTTTTCTGCTACAAATCAGAGCAATTAGTAATTAGGATATATTATATTTTGGTGGGAGCATTGTGTGTAACGCCCAGAATGAAATGTTTCCGACCCCAGGAAGTATATAAATTTATTCTTGATTAGTTTCAAGAGCCGAATCTATGTCTGTTTGTCGATCTTGATGAGCGCCTGGGTATCAGATAATATAGAGCTAGGGTCACCAAATGTTGTGTGAAGGCTCATGGATATCACACTGTTACAAGTTTGTTTCAAAATTTCGCCCGCCCCCGTTAGCGACAACAAAGGGCGAATATCTCTTATATCCACAAATTAGAAGACAAGAAAAAACTAAAAACGCAGTTCCCTAGATAATGGCCAGATCAGCATCAATAGCCGAGTCTATATCTGTCTGTCTGTCTGTAAATCTATCCGTCTTTTTTGTCGGCTACTTCTCAGAGACTATGAGAGCTAGAGCCACCGAATTGCCCCCACTGTTGCGATATCACACTGCCCCACAATGGTCGAAAATCTGCTGTATCCACAATTTTGAAGATAAGAGAAAACTAAAAACGCAATTCCTACTGAGTACCAATCAATTGACAGAAGCAATACTAGTACTTGTTTTTCTGTTTTTTTTTTTTTTTTGTTTATTGTCTTATATATTCCATTTGACAATTGAACATTTTTCAATTTCAGAAGTCCCTGCACTGATTTAATCAGTTGGGGTTAGATGCTTACGACGAATTGAAGAGGTATTTGGCGTTCTCTATCAAGAGAAAATGTGTCCTAAAATTCTTTCATTAACCTTTGTTATGGCGTATGGCATACACAGAGTAATACCGCAAGATTTGGGTTTTACTTTGACAGAACTCTAGCCACACACATCACATCTGCGACAGCAGCAGCTCCTGCAGTCCCCGCATTTGGATTCACTTGCATTACCAGCAGAAATCACACATCCTTTACGTGCTGTTTGTTGTCCCTAGCAAACACAAAGTGATATCATAACATGTAATCAACGCATCCACATTTTATGAGCCACACATCATGTAAATTATATGACACAGAACATAAAATAGGACCTGAGAACCAAAAACGAACAACAACCAGAAAGCAATGCAAAAGCAGTGGCCCGCAATATGTGAAATGTGTGTAAAAAGGGGCGTTCACTAGGATATTCTTGTTGTAATTAAAATTCTCGAAGTTGGCCTTGGGATTTCAGGCGCATTTATATTAGATATTTGTGGCTAATATGTATATTTGAATTTCCAAATGATGAAGCTGCAACATCGTGGTTAGGGGGCTCCTTGGAAGTATTTATACCCGGTATTCGAAGAGTAAATAGGTATATTGGATTTATTGGACCCCACAAAGTATATATATTCTTGATCAGCATCAATAGCCGAGTCGATATAGCCTTGTCTGTCCGTCCGTCTTGTTGAGCGCCCGGGACTCGGAGACTATAAAAGCTAGAGCCACCAAATTTTGCATCCAGACGACTGTATGCTCACACTGTTACAAGTGTATTTCAAAATTTCGTTGTACAAGTTTAGACGCGTAAGAAGCGTCTCACACGTCCCTTCTCGTTATTTTTATCTTCCACGCTCTTAGCCTTTCTATTAAAGTCATACACAAACAGAATTGAAACATAATTTTATTGAATTTTTGAATGTTTAAACCCTCCCGACTGTTGCATGTGAAGACGATCGATCTTTCTCATCCTGGCGACGACTAGAAACAGCGTCCGCCCCAGAATCCTGGACCACTTGTGCCACACCTGGAGTTAAATGGACCATTGTAGGGTCCAAAGCAGGGATCGTAGTAGCCACTGGGTCCACAACCACCGCAAGGGCAGAGGGCGGCAGAGGGATAACAAGGCCAGCTGCACATCTTCGTAAATTGCTTTTGTCCTGCCAGGAAAAAATTTTAAAAATAAATTTTGAATTTGATGTTTTTTTAATTTCAAATCTATTTACTTTGTTTAGAAGAGGCGGAACGTTGTTAATTTAGGTTTTATTTTGCTGTTTTCACAAAACAGTCCGAAGGGTTAGAGCTCCAAAGATTGAATGAAAAATATGTGTTAGACAGGACACCTACAAAATATGGTCCATGCGGCAGCTGATATCATGGCATACTTTATGATAACAACATATGTATATAAAAATGTGGCTTTATGGAATGGAAGTGAAGAAAGGACCCATAGTCCGAAATTATTTTTCTGAGGGCGAGGCCTAACAGCTCTAGAGAGGCTCATTATAGATCATTCGTAGACGATCGAGCCACAAAAAACAGCAAAGTACGGTAGGGTGTAAAGGGTAGAGGGTAAAGGGCTGCACAATTTTAGATTTAATTCAAATGCTTTAATACAATACCATCAAATGTGTTCCCCTAAGGCGACAAATAGAGATGGCCAACATCTCACAGGCCCATACTTACATACATATGTATCTATGTTTGTACATACGTATGAATATGACTAAATGTAGCTTTGCTGCCACACCGTGTCTATAATTTAGTCCCATTGTACTTCGGTTTAATTTCACTCAAAACGAAATTTCTTCTGTCAAATATGCAAGTCAGTAGGCTGTAACATTCAGTCATCAATTGTAAATCCCAATATATGCTCATTCGTTTTCAGGCCCTCGTTCAGCCAACAAAAAAATTATATTTTCGGAAAAAGTATTGTGAAAGTTTGAGTTTAAATTTGAGATTTAAAATTGTTTTTGTGAAAAGTTTCACATGTGTAAAAATTATTTTTCTTAAATCCTAATTCCAATGATGGCCAAAAGGTGAGAAATAAAGGAAATTTCATTTGGCATTCTAATATAAATCCATTCCACAGTATCCACCACACCACACGAAATGTTACTAAATTATTGAACTGCCTAGTATTCGTGCATAAAGTATGTGCATAAAGGAGACACAAACTATCCATCGTTAAGCATATTTACAGACTTAGATCAAACTGGACACACTGGATTGAAATCAATACATGATTCCTAAAGGATGTGTACACTTTTACTTTATATCAAACACGCAAAATCACTGGATTATAACAAATGGACGATGAGTCAACTCCAATTCCTAAAGGATACGTGTTTAGCCATAACATTTGAATTTAGGGTATCAAAATATTGGTTGATTGGCTAAGAGATTTATTCTCGATATTCTAATCCCATATTCATATTGCAGACTGAAACGCAATAAGGATTTTTATCGATACAATTGAAAGAAAGCTAAACTTCTACACAATGGTTTTTGTAAGTGTTTCGGGTGGGAGCTTGTATTATTAGCTAAAAAATAACTCCAGTTCCTTTTGCTTAGGTTATAGTTTATACAAATGAATACTACTCGCAAGGGAATTGCTGGAATTAAATAAAAATATAAGAAATATATAAAATATATTCACACGCAAATAAAATACTGAATAAAATCGATGACTGATTGTGATTTAGATGTACACTGAACTATTGTGTGTTTAATGTTGGTATTAAGAGCAGTGTTCTTTTTGGGGATACTTAAGGGTGTAGCTGAAGGTTCGGCAGAAGATTCTTTGACAGAATTTTGGTATTCCGCACCAGATATTTAGAATCCAGAATCTTGAAACAAACTTGATTCTGTGTGATATCACATGAATCATCACACAAAACTCTTATAGTATGTGAGAAACAGTCGTCAAACAAGACGGATAGACGGACATACATGGATATATTGACCAGGCTATTAATGCTGATTAAGAATATACATATATCCTTTAAGTGCGTTACGCACTTTGCTCCAACTACAAATACAATATACCCTATTTACTCTTCGAGCACCGGGTATAAAAAGTTCACAAAACCACAAACAAAACAAAATTTCCGTGAAGAAGTTTTGCGGATATTCGGCAACATCCTGTGTGGTGGCTGCTGTTATTCTTGCTGTCCCTGCTGTTCACCCAACTGTGGCCCCTTCGATGGAACCTGCTGTGGACCCTACTCTGGACCATTCTGCTCCTCCGTCTGTCCGTCCTGATGAGCGCTTAGTACTCAGAGACTATAAGAGCTAGAGCCACCAAATTTTGCATCCAGACTTCTGTATGCTCACACTGTTACAAGTGTATTTCAAAAATGAGAACCGCCCCCTTCCGCCCCCGCAAAATGGCGAAAATTTTCCAAATCTACAATTTTGAAGATAAAAGACAACTTCCGTAGGGAATGACCATATCTATCAGATCACCAAATTGGGATCCGATTGGATCATTATTATAGCCACAATGAAGAAATTATTTTGCAGTGGCTAAACCCACCCGTCCCGCAGCTTATATTTGTTTTTTTCACATTCTCTCATTCACACTCTGCTTCTGCTGTGTGCGGCCCCTGCGTCTGCCGCTAGTCTGCAGTGTGTTGGTCTAGAGAAGGGGAGCGAGCTAAAGGAGCGTGTTGGTGTGAGAAGTGTTGAAGATGTAGATGAAGAAAAAATGTTAAATTTGACAAAACACCGCTAAGGTGCTGATGTAGTGTCACACGTCTCTTATCGTTTAAATTGTATTTCATAGATACACTATTGCGACTGCCCAGTCTCACTTCAGAAATAACGAACAATTCTTTATTAGATTTGTTTGATATTCTCAGCTCATCCAAACATACAAGTAGCTTCTATATTTTCAAATCCACATGCACATAGTATTTTATTTTTGTAGCAGCGAATTAAGAAATCCTTTTGCTATTTACCAGCTAAGAGAGTAAGCTGTTTGCATGCCTAATTGATTTATAAAACCAAAAGATAGAGAGAGAGGGAGTAAGGAAATAACGCATAAAAATTTGCCTATATACTGGCGTGCTCTCTACACTCCCGTGTAGACTCTTTTCCGCTCGTATTCTTCATCAATTTTATGCACACAAAACACTGCTCACCAAAGATACGCGACTTGCCTTTTCAATTTCCCTTCTTATGCTTAGTCAGCGCAGTGCTTTGGACTCCACATTTCCTTTGAACCTCAGGCTTACACTCCGACTTGGAACCGGACTTTGGGTTTCTGGGGTCGGTAGACTGGAGAGATTTTTGTTTGCATTTTGTTGGCCCCAGAGACTAATGGTACATGGCCAAGAACCCCCGTCCTTAGTCCAGTGTCTGTCCTTTCTGCATTTTTTCCAATTCAGCAGTTAATAAATCCCCAACATGCATACGATTCGTACTCGCAGTCGTTCTTGTATCTGTGGCAGAGTGCAAGGCAATGGCCAATTGAAGGCGCCCCTCCCTACGAACTGTATCTGCATGCAATTTAACCCTTGGCTTATGTTTGAGAAATTGCCTTGAGAGTTTGCATTTTAGAGATTTAATGGCAAATAAATAAGGGAAATATTCATTAAGGGAGCAACTAAACAGAAAATAATATTTTTTAGATTCCTGTAGAAAAGAAAATATTGACAAAAAATTCCAATCCAAAATTAAAACATTTTTTGACAAATCATTTTTTTTTTTCTATTGTGTTTTTAAAGGGTTAATTCCATGTTGTGGCAAGTAACCTGCTCAATTGCCCAACAAGAAGTTTGCCATAGATTTGAATGGATTTCCAACTGCATTTTTGCATTGCACTTTTATGCATAACCAGTAATTTATGTCAACAGCAGAGGAAAGGAAACAGGAACCCGGCACCATACACCAGTAACGCAGGCAGACAGGATTCTCAGGACATTGGGGGCATAGCACATACGCTGCGTTAGCCAACACCAGCACTAGGGCCAGTCCGATTGCAATCTAATTACCAAAATATGCGAGCGAGCAGAAGAGATCCTAATGCAGCTGCAGTTGGCATTTGCAAGGAACTTTTCTGTGTTCGACTGGGGCGGCCCAGAGCTTTGGAATGTGTGACACATACATTGACTTGTTCCAGTTTTCTGTGGGATTTGTGTGTACCTTCTTTTTGGGATTGATGTGTGAATCCCATTGAGGGTGACTCTATTCCACAAGATGACAATTAGTGAAAGCAGAGTGTAAGCCAATGCCAAGAGACATAGATGAGTGATATTTGGACAGCTTTCCCATAGGCATATGTTCCGTCCCTGTTTTTCTGGGGGATTACTTTTTGCACTGAGAATTCTCAGACCAGACTCCTTGTGTCGGAAAGCAGCAGACAGCCAAATAGTCTGTGTTTTTGCACACAACAATATTGTTTTATTCCTACCTGTGTCTGGCCAACAACCCACTGGAATTACCCTAAACATAATTTTCGAGGACGAGGACAATTAAGACAGACAAAAGGCATTTGGCTGCAGAGCCTAATCACACTATTTTGCATATTTTGCCCCCTGGCAGCTGCCGTATATCTCTCGTAAGATACATATTATGGTTATGCCAGGCATGGTTTCGGCTTCCACCCTTCTTCTGTCAATTAGGATCTCAATTCAGGTCTCATTTGGCCAACACCTTTGCAAATCACAGCCTCGTCTATAAGTAAGAGTTGAGAAATGACTTATCAAGGGGCCATCCATTGAAGCCATTCGCAAGGAGCAATTAATCTTAATTATTATCATAGAATTTCGTATGCAAGTCGGTTGGCAAAAGTTCGACCACTGTTTTTGGGGATGTATTTAAGCCACTGCTTTTGATGGCTTCTATTCTGTCCTTTTCTGTCCTGTCCTCTTGTCCGAGGATTGTCAGCAAATCAGGTGCAATACGTGATGTGCTTTCGATAAAGTGCACAGCAAAATATAAAGAATACAAAATGTAAGGCAGAAATTGAATGAAGACCAATGTAGACAATGGATACACTCTGTCCAGCTGGATTTCGGGACTATTTTTTTTTTTTTTTTTTTTCTAATGAAAATAATGAGGCTGGAAATATCTTAAGCAATCTGAGGCAAATTTCATACATTATGGGTAATGGCTTATGGGTAATACAAAAACAAAAATAATAATAATAAAACGTACCATTATAATTCTGGTACATGATTTTTTAAGCTTGGCTCCAGGCCCTCGCTCTCTCTAGCAAAAATAAATCGGTAATTATAATAATTAATGAAAAAACTGAGAAACACGACGTATGCGTTGTATGTAACAAACCCCGAGAATAAAGATGCATACCTTCCAGAAGACTATAACGAGAAACATCTAGAAAAGTAAGGTAGAAAAAGAAGACAACTTTTAATGCGCTTAGGCGAAGAGCGATACACGAACGTTCAATCGGTGAATAGTGGAACGGTAAACGGATGGATGGTGAACGGTAAGCGGTAAACAAAATCAAAATCAAAACCAAAGCAAACCCACAAAGAACCAACGAGCGAACGGTCCAAGCACTTAAAATCTACTACACACCGACCCATCCTCCAGCATTACAAAATATCCCTTGCTGCTATACATCCCTCTGCACCGCTATTAAAGGACGAACCGGTGCGTGAGCAATTTTTCTAAACGAGAAATAACATAGTAGTCAAGGAGAACCAGGTTTGGGAAAAAAAAGAAGCGATTTGGGTGGGGCTATCCTTCAGCGAGTAGGACTACGATGATGATGATGCTGACGAGAATGGTTGCTTAAGTCATGTTTAAGGTGTTCTCTGGGGCAAGGGTCGTAACTTGTTAAATATTGAGCAACATTTCTTAAGACCTTTTTTGGTTAGTTTGAAAGTTTTTACATAATTGTTGAGGCTAATGAAGCGCATCCCAATTCTCTGTAAGGCAGGCATCCATCAAGTGACATTACAGTGGCTTTGATTTTATTATTTATGACTCTGGGGTTTTATTTAATTTTATAGTTTTCTTAATAAGAAACCACAAAAGGTGGGAGTGCCATCAAGTTGGGTAATGCTCAATTAGGTGTCGCAGAGTCGTTGTAGTCCCATCAAGTTGTCAATTAATCTGTAACAGATTCGCAGCAACTCGCAATTCGCCACTTCCTGAAATTATTTCGAATTTATTACTCAAGCTTTTGTATGTACATATCTACTGTTTTACGACGAGTTTATAAAATAATTGTCAATAAATCTAAAATGAATCGTAGCAGTCCGAAATGTGGTATTTTTTTCTTTTTTCGTTATCAAAATATCTGAAATTTTCATTAGATTCACGACGTTCAGAGGTTACACATGCCAAACCATCCAAATTTTTTATGTTTGTCGAAATTGTTTTTTAGTTTTATATAGTTTTTAGTTTGTTTTTGTGTGAGATAATCATGACAGAATTCAAAACTTTTAGTCTTTTAGCGAATGTTTGCAAGTGTTTTCATGTAAGGGGAAATGGTAAGGTTTCATCAGATACATACATAGATGCAGATAGAGAAGCAAAAATGTATATAAGTACGTATCCCTTGTAGCGTTTAGTTTCTGGAGTCGAGCATTAAATAAATATGCCACGAGCACTCTGAATATGAGTTCGGATACGCTGCAGGAGTCGCAAGGCAACATGGGTTGGTCGAAGAACGGTCCACTGAGCACGGTCCTAAGGAATGTCTCCGAATCGATGAAGCTAATTGAGAGGACTGGGCACGGTTCAAAGGTTACCACGCAGCAGAAGGTTAATAACAACATACTGAAAAGGCATCGGCAGCAGAAGCAAAACGAGCAGAAAGTATCGGCAAGATCATACGCGACCCCAAGACCCGTGAAAGTCCAGGGAGGACTAAAGCAAAAGCTGATGGATCTGATGAAATCCAATATCACTCAGAGGAAGCAAACGTTGTTTGGCTATAATGACTCGAATCTGGTCAGCAAGTATACAAGGATTGGGGAAAGCCGCTACGAGGGTTATGCATCCCAGAGTAAGCCCAATCGAGGAGATAGGAAAATTGTGCCTCTAGTGAAAGTGGAGAAACCGACATCTTACCGCCAGGAGTACGTTTGGAACATAAAAAAAACCCCCCCGATGGCATATACCACACTTCCCGAATCCAGATGGAAACGGGAGCAGCAAAGTCTCAAGGAGCAGCAGCGTCTCCAGGAGCATCAAGCAGACTACATCGATATAGCCAGTATAACGAATAAAATCAAAAGAAACGATCGCATAATGCGATGCATACGAGGCGTGGAGCATAACGCCCACCTTCCCGTTGACTTTAGGCCCCAGGTATATCGTCACGGTTATCATTAGAGCTTGAAGCAGAGCGAAATGATTGCCAAATACAAGGATGACAAGATACCCGAGATGATCAAGATGCAACAGCAACAGAAGCGTAAGAAGGAGAAGTCCGAACAAAAGGATATCGCAAAGTCACGAAAAAGCACCACCTTCCCCATCGAACTGTAAGAGACGTGAAGATCATAAAAAAGGCCAAGAAAGTGAAGAAAAGTAAAATTGGTAAGAGATACACAAAAGTACAGCTACAAATTCATGGTGTGATTTATACATGCCTCTCTCGTGCCTCTCCAGCCTTCACTTACGAGGCTAAGTCATCGAAATGGTATCCACGCAGAGGATGAGGAGCATTTCACAGTCATTGAAGGACTGAACGGCCGCTTCCTGGGAACTTCGGAGGGGAGATATTTTCCTCACTGATCAGACGAAGAACCGGGCGTATGTTTCATTCTTAAACCTTTGAAAATCTAAAAACTCCAAATATTTTTTTAACGATTACTGGCTCTAGCATTTCCGCCCTTGTAGATATTTTTAAACGTAACATTTTAGTGCCATATGTATACGCGTTTTATATTTAATAAATATTACATATTTTTAAATTTTTGTATTTTGTATATTGTGTGTATTGTATTATTGTACATGTATTTTCCTGGGTTGATTTACTCTAAAATAATCTTACATTTGTCATGCATTGAGCAGATTAAGATTGAGCAAATTATATTTTCAAACAAAAGTCAAAAATTTAAAATGGTAAAAAGGTATTGGCTGATAATTAATTCCTAAACTTAAACAGTCCCAAAAAGCAGCCATGAAATTGGCATATGAAATTGCATTTTAATACTCTGTTTAAATCCTTATACAAAACACTGCTACTGCTGTTTTGAGTTGCTGCCTTTGAAAGCTTTTAATAAGTTTAATGTGCGCTGATGCAAAAGTTGAAAAATTTATGAGTTTTATCCGGAACTCCCTCATAAAATGCGGGGCATGTTAAGGAAACGCTGAAGGAACCGCAAAAAATTTTGGCTAAACAATTAGCAGGACGTTTAAGTGTCATGTATCCTTGGTTGGCATATCAGTCCTAGTCGCAGACACAAGTGCCATCCCAAGCAAACGCTGGCAAAAATTAATTAAAACTTACCTCAAATGAACTGACAGTCAATTAAAGTTTACGCAAGAGACAGAACACACAGGAGACAGGACAACAAGTCAACATCAGCAACATTCCCACTCCCTCTGCCAAATGGGGGAGTATCCCAGGGGGGGGGGGGGGGGGGGGGGGGGGGGGGGTGTTGGGGTCACGGTACACTCTTCTTAGAGACCGAACCAAATGTTCAACGCACCATTAAACTCGACCCCAAGAGGGCCTCCGCCAGAGTTGGCTCGTTTATTGGCCAAAAGAAAACACAAAGGCCAATACACACAAAGAAAGATAGAGACAGAGAGAAGAGCGAATGCCATAAACGACAGAACAAAACAAGAGACAGACAGCAAAAACAAAGAACCTCCGTCTCAGGCCGAATAAATAATGTGAAACAATGTGAAGAGACGAGGAGGGTATCTCCAGGTCCAGGATGCGGCTTGTTTGTCTTGGACTTCAGTCGGTCAGCCAGTCACCACACTCTGAAGAGGAGCAGAGCCAACACAAGATGTGGCAGCAGCAGCAACAAAACAATTAACAATCTCCGTTTGCCGTAATTGACTCAAATGAGCGCAAACAATAAATAAAACAGTAACAGTAACAGGAGCTGGAGCTGGAGCAGTGGAAGGAGCAAACACAGTGGATGACCAGGCCAACAGAGAGAGAGCTAAGGAAAGGCACGCGGCCAGAAAATGCCACAACCATGTTGACAATTCTTTGGCTAGAGATGATCCATTGATTGGGGGATATGGGGGATATTCCATATGGAACATACGAGTCTGTCCAGATATCTAGAAAGTGCAACTTAAGATATCTTCTAATGGTAATGGAATACTTTGCGTTGGGAAAATGTTGGTTAGTTTAGCTTTTAGAAGCAATAGGAAAGGGATTGGACAAAGAAAACAACCTCAAGGGTAATATTTTGGGCATCCCTTTAAATAATCCTAATAAATTCCTCTTAAGTCCCATCTCCCTCTCACTTTATAGGGAATTCCCCAGTCAGGTTAGCGTCTCCCAGTAGTCCTCTCCCCTGATCCTGCCCCGTTTTGGTTGCCAACATTCATCACCCCTGAGCAGTACACTGACACGAGCGTGGCACATTCTCATAGTTTGTTTCTGGCGTTGATCCATAAGCACTCCACCACACACAAACACACAACACTCCACACATTCTGTGTAGCCCTCATCCAGAGGCAGCCTGCAGCAAAATCACAGACTCAACCGGACTGCATTTTTCTTCACTCTTTTGTTGTCATGTCATGCCTTTTGCTTCGATTGTTTGCACAGCTTGTCAGCATTTCCCAGCATGTCCCAGTGTCATCCCAAGGATCTCCCTTCGTTGTCCTTGCAAGTGGATATCTTTGACTAAGTGCACGAGGGAGACGACCGTTTCTCCCCATCGTAGCTTTTCTCTCTATTCTGTACTGTTCTGTTCTGTTCCGTTCTTTCTGCCAGATGTTTGCACTTCAATATTGTATTTTTAATTATTCAAGTTTTGGAGTGGAGCGAGCCTCTGTTTGGTAGCAACTACTACAATGAACGGACGAGGATAAGTATAATGTAGTGTCCTCTACGGCGTTCTCTCTAGGGTCCAGCAATGAAGTGGACACGGATCACAAATGTCAAACACATGGAAATCCACTTGATCCACAGAGAAGCAGATAAAGAGAGAGAGTCAGAGCGATAGGGAGTGAGCGGGAGAATGCGGATTGGTCCATAGTTTAATGGTTAAATGGTAAATTGGTTCAAATATCTTCATAATATTTTCATAACAGGCGTTTTACCTGCTTGAGAGAGATCTGCACATTAATCAGGGAAAACTCTATGGAAATTCTCAATAAAGCAACATTTTCCCTTACGTTAATTATGAGATACATCCATTCAAAAGATACAAAAGAACATTCACGTGTAATGAAAGCTTTTCATGTGGTGCCTCAAAACCCATTAGATTTGCCATAGAACTTAGCATTCACTCTGCCATGCTGGCACTCCACTAAATGGAAAATTGAAAAGCTGTGAAAGTGCGTGGAAAAGGCATATTGAAATTGGTAGGAAATGGCAAGGAAAAGGCAAAAGAGAGGACAAAAAAAGGGGGAAGATGCTGTCAAAGTTTGTGGCTGCAGAATTTGAGAAACATTTTCAGGGCATAAGACAGGAGACAGCAGGAACTCCACCAACTACTTGCAAATGCTGGGCGCCGCGTGGTGCGAAGGAGAGTGTGTTTGCCGCAAATAAATTTGATTTGCATGTGCAAATGAACGTGGAATTGAATTTTCTTATGCATGAAATGTGCGCATAATTGGTCTTTGACGCCGCACCAACACACTCGCACACACAGTGAGATAGATGCTTCGCTCCAGTGGCAGACATCAGGCATCCATGGGTGGCGCCTTTCACGCCTAGACAAGTGCTCCATTTGGTGGCAGTGCTCCTTGTACTTCTCGTAATTGCTTATGTATAAATTTAAATGCACACATAATCACACAAGCAGAAAATATGGAAGAAAAACCACCCACATTTTGTTGGAAGAGCTACAAAGAATTATAACATTTCAGACATCTTTCTACCCAAGAAAAATGTAATCAATAAAACTTAATCAAAACCTATTAAAATACTAGCTGACATTCACGAGTCACTAGTGGACATTCACTCTCCGCTTTTGTTCTTACAAATTTAAAAGCCTTTTGTGGTAATTTATTTTGCCAGCTTCCGTTTATACACTTTATTGCAGGATCATTAGCATTTCCTAAGCCGCGGGGAGCAGAAGATGTTGCCTTAAGTTTCCTTCTCCTTGGACTTTGCTCCGCCCGCTTTAAGTTCCACTTTTGTTGGAGTACTATCACCGGGTCCGCTGTTTGCCTTCCGTCGTCGAAGTGCCGCTGGGCTAATGTGATTTTTATTGGATTTACAAACTTGAGTGTCAACTTCCATACTTTCAGAGAGATTTTTGCATTTCAAATCATCCCCCAAACACACCAGCTTCAGTTTGTTTTTTTTTCGTACGTTAGGAACTAGCCACATAAATATTACCGCACGCATTCCCAAACTTTTTGTAAAGTTTTCCAATCGAGAATGCATTTTTCCATGCCACCACGCTCACATTATGTGCACAGTTTACATCTAACGCTCACTGGTCGATGGTTTTCCCGGGTTGCCGGCTGGGTTTGTCTTGAGGAAAGTTTTCCCCGACAGTTTGTCGAAGCTCGATAAAAATGGAGTGTCTTCTGCAGTCAATGAGATGTGTGCTCTTCATTTGTTTGCTTAATTAAATTAATTAAATTACATTAAAGGGGGAATTTATTCAAACTATAGTTTTTTCTTTAAGTGAGATTTTTGCAAAAGCACATCCCTAAAAGGTATTCTATCAAAAACAATCAAAGTCAGCAGGCATCCAATCCAATAAGCTAAAACTACGCGACGTACCATATCACCTGGAGCAATTCAATTAAATTTAAATGAAAGCAGTGCCTGGACAGATACAGAGAGAGAAAGAGCTAGAGAGAGAGAGAGAGGGACAAATGTTTTAGTTTAATAAAAAACATTGGTCAGAACGCATGGAGGAATGAGCCTGAAAGCAAACTACGACGGCGAGTCTATGCATTCACTTCTCTATGGTATCGCTGTATGCATGCATCTGTGATTCTTGTTTTTTTCACTCCTATCTCTATCTCCCGCTCTCTATCTCTCTGTCGCATTTGGCTCTTCAATTAGCGTAATTAATTCTGCTCTTTGAGTGGAGTGTGCGAAAAATGACAAAAATGACCAACGAAATGCGAATGCTGCTCTGTGCAACTCCGTCTGCGCAACAGAGAGGCACGGAAACAAGGAAAAATCCCCCCCCCCATTTTCTCTCTCTCTCTCTCTCTCTCTCTCACTGTCTGTGTGTGTGTTTGTTTGTTATTGTAATGGTGTCAGCAGCATCCGAGCAGTGGCATGAAGGAACGCATGAAACACGTGACATTCCAGCCAAAGTTCGTTACGTTCAATGTAGTAAGTATGAAGTAGGCAGCATGCAGGAGGCAGTATGCAGGAGGCAGGGGGAGTGGGGCCACACA